AAAAGTACTTTATGTAAGTCAACCAATGACTTCATAGCTGTGCTGAACTTTGAATCTGGGTCTTTCAGGTTAATAGTTCAGTCTGCTATATACTACAACATTTACAACACTTTTGATTTTATATTTCCAGTGACCAAATTCAATTGTACTGTATGTATAAACATTCATAAACAGTCCTGTTATATAACATTGGATGGGGCATAGCTAATTATAACAGCTGTCATTGAAAATGAACTTTTTTAGTTCTGATTCATAGGAATAAGTCATTTAACTTCTCTTAGAGATTCTCTCAGATATTAAATAAAATAATGATGCAAATACTGTGTCTGTGTTTGAAAGTATATTTTCACTAAATAGGTCAGAACAGAAGGTGGACAGACGTATGGAAATGTATACAGTCAAGCCTCTTGAACACTGGGAACCCACCTACCTAATATCTGGAAACATTTTCCATATTCACACTGGTACAAGGAAAGGTGGGATCTATTGGGAAATCAGCATGTCTTTAACCCTTTTCCATAACATTGGTTCTTTGGAAGACCAAACTAGATATCTGTTCTTAGTACCCATGACTGACGCTGCAGTGGGAAGTAGATGGCGCATGTCCCTGGTACTGTACTTCTGGCTAATATGTGAAGGTGAAGAAATGGCACATTTCACCTATTGCAAGATGCATACAGAATCAATATTTATGTGAATTGTTAGCAATATGCATCCAAAAATGTTTTCATTGGCAACTATTAGAGAGACACATGGCTTTGAATCCACTTGTCTTCTGTCAGATGTGGAATTTTCTAAATAAAACAGCAATGGATTCACAGGGATCCAGCTCTCAGTCAAAAAACAGCTGTCCAGTATCTAAGGTTTCTGGTATTTTATGGAAGAATTTCCTTTATTCTAATACAATTTGCAAGCTGTATCTTTGCTTAAATTTACTGAATTGCTAAAGGGCAGAAACATATTTTACAGCTATGCATGCTTACTGCATATGTTTGAATGGCATTATCTTGCATTCCTTAGTATGGAAGTACTCTGTGTGTGTGTGTGTGTGTGAGAGAGAGGGGGGGGGCAGTTGGAAAGTGATATTCAGGACCAGTGTGAACCCCCCTTTCCTTTCTTCAATTGTTTTCCAATGTTTTTTAAAAAATATTTTAACATTTTCTTACATATAAGAGGTTAGCATTAGATTACTCTATCACCTTATTGCTGGTTGTTATTATTATTTCCTGTATTTATGCAGGAACTCCCAAAACAATCAATGCCCTTGTATGAGCATTGACTGCAATTTCAAATACAACACAGGCTAGAATCAAATACAGTGTAGTCACTCCCTTATTCGTTGATGTGGTGGCATGTGATGGTCAGTCAAAACGTTATGTTAAAAATCTCTTAAGCATTTTCCTAAATACAGTACTTGCCTGCCATCTAGTGGCTTGAGTTCACAAAGAAAGCCAGAGAGAAAAAAACATTGTGGCACCATTAAGACAGCACATATTTTCACTGGTAGGCAAGAAGATGCACTCATATTTTATTAAGGACCATAATATTACATAATTCTCTTTAACGTGCCACAGTATGTTTGTCTTTTTTATTTTTTACATTTTTGTTTTGTTTTGACCTGATATGCTAGCACAGACTAACATAGCTATTTCTTCTAAAACTACAACCTGAGCAAAAAACAATTATCTTTTATGTTCATCGCTTATGCCATGATTAATTCACTTTGGCCTAAAAAAGAAAAAAATACAATGCTTTTAAAAAGCAACATATGAAGAACAGTAGACTGAATAATGATTTTGTAATTTAATTATGTGTGGCAAGTAGCTGAATGTTTTGTAACTGTATGTCTGCTTGGTATCTTTGGTCAGTGTGTAAACTAATCTACACAAGCAAGAATCCTAGTTTTCCAGAGTTCTCATCACATGAAAAGCCATGTGATAGATACCTAGTGTACAGATACCTAGTGTATCCTTTCCATTAGAAGAATATGAGGACAGAATATGAGGACAGAAGGCAGGGAAGGGTGAACAAGATTGCGGAAGCAGTATTAGTATTGCTCACTGATAGTTGTTTATTACATATGCTGTAGCACAATTTGCACTGGCAGTCAAGAAGCTGCATTTATATTTTGTTAAGGACCATAATATTATGTAATTGCCATCAACATGATCAGAGAGTCTGGATGTTTGTTTTAAAGGATGTTACGATTTGACTATTGAGAAGCATCTGAATGAGCTGTTATAATCACCAGTTTTTAAGTTGGAAATTTTATCTCATATTGTACATAAAGGCTTTTGGTTATAAACAATACAGTTGTTGTTATTGAATAAGACTTAAACAGGATTTAGGTCACATCATTATGTGGCTCAGATGCCACACATGACAATAGCGTTTTTGGTTTGCCTGTAGAAGAGAACCTACAAATACAAGCATCTTGGCTGTCTTTCATATGTTGCCTTCCTGGATAATCCTCAATTGAATGAACCAAAGACAAATCAGCTACAAAGGCTGAATATGTAGTGTAGTAGACACATGACTAACATGGTAGGGAAAAAAAACAAAGATAATGACTGTGGTCTTTCAGCTTACCCTAACATATTGTTGTTAGGACCAACCAACATTCCAAAGAACTTTGCAAGCTTCAAAGAATTCTTTAGACTTCTTCAGCCGGTTATGTGGTACAAGTATCACATGCTGGGGTGGGGGTGGAATATACATGTTCAAACACTAGGCCAGATGTAGACCTGGAGTTTGTAGTTCAGCCCCAGACTCTATTGAGTATGGCCACATTAGCTAAAAAACACTTTACCAGTTATGATAGACCTTCATTAGTATGTTTCTGGCATTTGAACCCAGGTCTCCTCCAAGAGGAGACTCTTCCATACAACATCAGTCTGGCTGAAATCATACCACTACTGGAAACAGCCATTAACCTGCTCTTGAATTACTTCTGTACCAGTCCATTTATGTTTAAGAAAGTGTTTAAGACTGAGATGCCATATTGTGTACTGTACATTACTATGTAAATTCATTCATTTGTTTATACCAGTGACAGCGAATCTTTTTGGGCCCAAGTACCCAAACTAAGGGGGGGGAACAAAGCCAGCAGGCGGCAGAACCAGAAGTGGAGGTGGTGGAACCAGAAGTGGCGGCGGAAGGGGGAATCCTGGGCATGCAGGTGCCTTGAGATCCCACTCCGGATCTGCCACCAGCACCAGCTGCTCCGGATCCTGCCCCTCCGCCTGTTGAAGTGCCAGCACTGTGTCTGCCGCCACCACCTCAGGTTTGGCTGTGTGTGTGTGTGGGGAGGAGTGATCTGGTGACTTATGGCTTGCGTGCCCGCGGAGAGGGCTCTGTGTGCCAGCTGTGGCACGCGTGTCATAGGTTCACCATCACTGGTTTATACAAGAGGTCCCCAACCCCCCAGTCCACGGTGAGACAGATCTCCCAAACCCCTGCACGCACTCTCCCCCCGCACAGCCCCTTTGCATATGCGCACAAGTGCCCCCAAGTGCCCTTGCCCTTCCTGCGTGCATGTGTGAGCCCCCATGCGAGCAACCCCCGCTACTTTGTGCATGCACCAGAGCCCATACATGCACATGCATCCCTTCACGTGAGCCAGTCTGTGGTGCTATAAAAGGTTGGGGACCACTGGTTTATGCTATTTTTAACCTGCCTTTCTCCTTAAAAAGGACCCAAGGTGGTTTCCAAAAATTAAAAGACAGTATTTAAGTTAGTAACAGTGAGCATACAATACTAAAAGGATCAATAAAAAACAAAAACAACACCAAAACACCTTCAAAGCAGTGAAGTTCAACAATCCATACCTCACTCAAAAGCCTGCCTGAGGAGAAAGGTCTTTCCCTGCTTGCAGAAGGACAGCAAAGATGGGGGCCAGCCTGGCTTCCAGTGGAAGGAGTTCCACAGTTTGGGCCCAGCAAGAGAGAAGGCCCTCTTCTCTGTCCCCACCAAACGTACATGTTTTTAATGTGTGGATTACTATGTAAATCAAATTATATATCCATATCTATGGATACCCAGTGTGGCATAGCGGATAGAATAAAGAATTAGACCTCTAATCCCCCCTCTGCCATGGAAACTCACTGGGGGAATGGATATTCACTCCTTAAATATCTCACTTATTTCGAAAATCCTATTAGGGTCGCTTTAAATCTGTTTGCACACAGCTTTACCCACTGACGTGGTCTCAGGCAAAAGTGACCACTTCTTGCATACTGACGTGATATCCTTTCACACAAGGGATAAATGCATTTATCTGCAACCTCCTGAGCATCTTTAATAGGAAGGAATTGATTTTAGAAGAACTGTCTCTCTGGGAAAATGTGTATATGATGAATGCAGGCCTATTCTGAAGAGACTGCTTTCAAACTTGTTCCGTGTTACTTCACAGCTACCTCCCTTCAAAGCTGAACGTTTTAGTTAAGTGGGGCCCTTTTAAGGACAAAGGCGGGGTAAAAAAATTACTTAAATAAATAAATACATAAATAACAAGTGTCTTTTCAAAAAAATAAGTATGCAAAGAAATGGAAGGGATCAAAACACTCAATATGGCTGCTGAAGCAGCATCCCTCCGAAGTAAAAAAGTTGGATAAATTACTTTAAAAAAAAAGAAGAAGACCGAAACTCCCAGAACTCTCTCGCCTACCCGACCGCTTCGTTTCTCAGGGAGCACGAAAGGGTGGGAGGGACGCGGCCTTCCTTTGGGAGGCTGCCATTCCGGCCCCAAGGACGGTCGGTCGGTCGGTCGGGCAGGCGAGCCCCTTGTCGCGGCCCTTGCGCGGGTGGCGCCTCTGCAGCGCCTCACGCCGCGGGGTGGAAAAAGGCTGGCTCGGGGCGCCATCGAGTCGGGCCCTCAGAAGGCTCTTCGCGCCCGCTCCGACCCACGCCAAAGACACCGGGTAGGACGCTCAGCATCCTGGCGAGGGTCCGGGAAGAAACGGCGGGCGTGCATTTGAGGGGTGGGAGTGTGTTCATATCCTGCGAGCGTGCATTCCCACCTGTGCGTGTATATGAGAGAGAGAGAGTTAGAGGGAGGGACAACTCACGATTTCCCCTTCTGTGGGGGACGCTTTTTTTGGTCGCCCTAAAGAGCCTCTTTTCCGCCCGGAAAAATGCCCGCCCCCGGCCGCCCACCCCAAGTAGCCCCTTCTCTTTATCTGCGGAGCAACTGAAACCTTTAGCGCTCTCTTTCGTCGTCGTCGCCCCAACTTCTCCTCTCCGCATTCAAAGCATTTAATGCCCTCAAACCCACCCACCCCTCATTATTATTTTTATTCTGGTTTTTGTTGTTTTGCGTGGAAGGGAGCTGTTGCCTTGCTTCAGGAAAAAGGAGAGTGAAATTATCCTAATAGAGCAAGCCGGCCCTTTTTGGATTCAGAGGTAAGCTCCTTTTCGTTCACTGGAATGCTTCCTCTCAGGTAAGTATGTGTAGGATTGCAGCCTAACAAACCGTGATGGTAATCCGGAACTATAGCGCCGGTTTTTTTACCCCAGGATAGGAAAATAGGTTTTCCCTAACATGGGTATTGTTTTCTATTACGCGCTAGTTAATAGACCTTATTTCTTATTCACGCTACCTAGTTTAAAACGAGCTCTTGCTGCTTCTATTTTGATGCTTTTGACTTTCTTTCACAGCCTTCGTTTGTCCTTGCCTTTCCCTAGAAATCAGTACTGTATTTTGGTTAGAGAGAAGTGGAATCCGTCTCTGTTCCATATTTTTAGTTTCGTTCCATATTAGGGCTAGTGATCCGTTGAAGCCAAAGTCTCCTGGCACTTTAAAAATCTGTAAAATTAATGGTACAAATTTTGGCAGGCTACAATTCTCTTTATTATTTGCGTGAGATTTTAACACACACACCCCCTCCGAGAGAGTTGAATGAACCCTGGGTTGGATTGGGTTGCACTCCCTCTAACAACACAGGTACGCCCAGGTGTTTCTCTCTGATCCTGGATGCCCAGGGTTTGACAGTAGACGGGTGCCTTTGCACAATTAAAACTAGTGTGCCCAGCTGCACCCATTCCAGGAGAGGTCTGATCTGGCCATGGTGACACGTCTTACTCATATCTGAGCTGGATTACTGTAATGCTTTCTATGTGGGGAGGCCTATGGAAAGTGTCTGGAAACTTCAGTGGGTCCAGAATATAAGCAGCCAGATTGCTCCCCTTACTGACCGGCTGTCTGAGAGGGGTTTATAAATGGATTTGTGTGCCTTTTGGCTTTTAAACGTGATTGATTTTATTACCATTTTAAACATACTTTTTTGTTTAATTCTTTCTATATATTTAAATACTTATCTTTTTGTAGTTTTCAAATATTGTCTTTTTAATTATGTAAGTAAGCCGCCTTGGGTCCTTTTTAAGGAGAAAGGCAGGGTAAAAATGTTCTGTAGAATGCCCTCTCAAGAAAAACTTCCGTTATGCTATTTTTAATATTATTTAGGATTAGAAATTGTATCTTACTTAGGCATTCATGAAAACGAGTGTCCAGCCTAATCCTTAAAAGGTAAAGGTTCCCTTTGACAATTAGTACAAGTCGTGTCAGACTCAAAGCTGTAGAGCCAGCGTTTGTCTGTAGACAGTTTCCGTGGTCACGTGGCTAGCACGACTGGACATGGAATACCATTACCTTCCCACCGCATTTTTACATGCTTTCAAACTGCTAGGTTAGCAGGTGCTGGAACAATCGCCGGAAGCTCACTCCAACTCGTCAATTTGAACTGCTGGTCTTTCAACCTTGCAGCCCAGAGGGTTCTGTGGTTTAACCCGCAGTGCCGCCTTACAGAACTACTTATCTAGAAGTAAGAGTTTCAGATATAATCATGCAGTATTTATCCAGAAGTGTGCATACTTACGATCACTATCTTAAGTGATATACTGTGCTCCATATTCATCTCCATTTCAAAGGGATATATGGGCTGTCAAATTTTTTGAGGATGTGAATATGTTTATGGTTGTAGGTTTTTCGTCGGGCTTTTTGGCCGTATTCTTAAGGTTTTTTTCTTCCTAATGTTTCGCCAGTCTCTGTGGTCGGCATCTTCAGAGGACAGAAGTCAGAACAGAGGACAGACAGAGTTCTTACTCTTGTCCTCTGAAGATGACAGCCACAGAGACTGGCGAAACGTTAGGAAGAAAAACCTTAAGAACACGTCCAAACAGCCCGAAAAACCTACAATAGCCATTGGATCCCGGCCATGAAAGCCTTTGAGAATACATTGAATATGTTTATTTTCCACACAATATATTGTATACCCTTCAAAATTTGAAAGCTAGTAATTCTCATAATTTAAAGGTCCATAATGCAATTCACAAAAAATAAAAGATTTAAGTCTAAAGCTAAATATTTTTTAGACCTAGAATTGAAACCTGCCAAGCCCCAAACCTGGGAATTTACACAAACATTCAGCTCAAAGAATTCTATAGCTGTGCCAGATTTGAAGTGAAGCTGACAAAAATCAATTTGATGCACAGGTAAAGAAAATTTAAATGTGCCATTGCCTACCCTTTGCTCATTTTTCCACTTTTCAGAAAGCCTTATTGTGTATTTCTGTCAGATTTTGGTAAAAACTACTCATGTGTTTCACTAAGGCTTGTTGAGGAAAGACGTTTTTCACTGGTATTATAGTGTACAGAACAAATAACCCAAAGTTAATCCAGGACTCATCTCCCATTAGAATCTGGGAACGAACTGCTGGCAAACTAAAGTGCATAGAAAGTTTCATTCTGAAGCTGCTTGTGTGCCAGAGTTTTCAGAAGGAATCCATTGTACTATACATTATAGGTAACATTTAGTCCTCTACTTAAGGAATGTGATCCCATATTGTCGGAGGGCAACAATTGTGACCGTAAGCGTAAGGGGATGGATTGCAAAACATCCGCTGCCCTGTGGTCTCCCCAGTCTCTGTCTTCTATTTATGATTAGAAATGCCTGGCCAAAACCTTTTCAGTCTCCTTTGGCAGGTCTTGGAGCCAAACACAGGCTCTATCTAAAAAGAAAGATACCTCAAACCGCCAGATACAGGGGAAGCTATCAGGAGACAGGTATCTAGTTACCTCATGTGCTTCCAGAGACATCTGGTGGGCCCACTGTGAGATAGAAAGCTGGGCTAGATGGGCCCTTGGCCTGATCCAGCAGGGCTCTTCTTATGTTCTTATTTCATTCATTCTGGAGGGAATTATTCTGCAGGGCAGCTGTGATGTTGCTAATGGTGTGTGGAGCCTTGGGACTAACTTTTGGAAGAGCCCTTGCCATGAACTGTATCTCTGACATTTTATTACTTATCATAGCATATTAAAGACATCTGACTTAGCTTCCAGTTTCCTATTTTTGTAGAGCTTGAGATGATGGAAGAGAGCTTTAATTCCTAAATTGGGAGGCTTTGATGATCCAGTATATACAGTATGTGACTTAAATTTGTGAAATGTGTTCCTCATTATTTTATAGCTTTGAACTTCTTGCTGCAGTGGTTCTTTCTTGATAAAATGGTCAGTTAAGGCCTGTTGCACAATATAACAAGTAAGCTATGATTTTGCTAAATGTTTGGAGTGAGTGGGATCTTTGCTAATGGATCTTTGGATAAGAAGGTTGAAGACTAGTGACAATAGCTATTAGAGGGTAACAGCCAGGGGCAGTCCTAGATACATTTGTTTGTTTGTTTGTTTGTTCAGTTTCTATACCACTTATCTGACTGCAAGGCCACTCTTGTTGGTTTACTAAAAAAATATATGACACACACAAAAAAGACATACATCAAATTATAATTATTGGGTATAAACTCAAAATTAAGCAGAACCTAACTCAAATCACGGATATTCCTTCACGGATTACTGCCCTGTCGTGGCGAAGGGGCTTGAGTAATTCAGAGAAGCTATGTGCTATGCTGTGCAGGGACACCCAAGATGGCCAGGTCATAGTGGAGAGTTCTGACTAAATGCAATCCACCTGGAGCAGGAACTGGCAAACCAGTATCTTTGCCAAGAAAACTCCATGGACAGAAACAAAAGGCTAAAAAATATGATGCTGGGAGATGAGCCCCTCAGGTTGGAAGGTGTCCAACATGCAAGCCGAAAGGACAATCGGCTGCAGATGTGCCTGGAAGTGAAAGGAACGTCCGATGCTGCAAAATAGAGTTTTGTCAAGAGAACAAGCTGGTCATCACAAACACTGTTTTCCAACAACACAAGAAACGACTCTACACATGGACAATACCGAAATCAGATTGATTATGTTCTCTGCAGCCAAAGATGGAGAAGCTCTATACAGTCAGCAGAAACAAGACCTGGAACTGATTGTGGCTCTGATCATCAGCTTCTTACATCAAAACTCAAGCTTAAACTGAAGAAAGTAGGAAAAACCACTGGGCTAATCAGGTATAATCTAAACCAAATCCCTTATGAATACACAGTGGAAGTGAAGAACAGATTTAAGGAACTAGATTTGGTGGACAGAGTGCCTGAGGAACTATGGCTGGAGACTCATAACATTGTACAGGAGGCAGCACCGAAAACTATCCCAAAGAAAAAGAAGTGCAAGAAAGCAAAGTGGATGTCCAACGAGGCCTTACAAATAGCACAGAAGAGAAGGGAAACAAAATGCAAAGGAGATAGGGAAAGTTACAGAAAATGGAATGCAGACTTCCAAAGAATAGCAAGGAGAGACAAGCGGGCCTTCTTAAATGAACAGTGCAAAGAAATAGAGGAAAATAATAGAAAGGGGAAAACCAGAGATCTGTTCAAGAAAACTGGAGATATTAAAGGAACATTTTTTTTGCAAAGATGGACATGATAAAGGACAAAAATGGTAGGGACCTAAGAAAAGCAGAAGACATCAAGAAGAGGTGGCAAGAATACACAGAGGAATTATACCAGAAAGATCTGGATGTCTCAGACAACCCAGATAGTGTGGTTGCTGACTTTGAGTCAGACATCCTGGAGAGTGAAGTCAAGTGGGCCTCAGAAAGCCTGGCTAACAACAAGGCCAGTGGAGGTGATGGCATTCCAGTTGA